ACCGTTAAAGTATTTCTTCGGCAAATCGATTTTCGCTAGAATTTTTTTAAATTCTGGGAAAATGTTCCTTTTCATGTACTTTATAAGTGGTAAAAAACCCACTTCCCCTTGCCATGCTAAAAACTGAGAAATCTGGGGTCAAAGTTGCACCAGTTAACATAGGATTCCTAATCTGAACATGCAAAACACACATTTTATTGAATTATTTAAAAAGTTATCGATAGATTTTTTTAAAAACGAGTATATTGTAGAATGGAATTAATAGAATAATATAAAAAAAAGTTTTAGTAGGAGTATCCATGCTAATTTTTTAATTACAACTTTTTGAAGTAGTAAGAAAACATCTTAAAATCAAAATGCCTGGAAACTAGAGTAATTTTTATCTTAAAACTAGATTAAGTCAATTTTAGGACTTAAAATCATACACTCAAGGCTGAAATTCAGTAAAACTGGTTCCGAATGGTTCTAATGTTATCGGTTTTAGTCAAAAGTGAACTAAAAGTAAGTATTATTTTTTAGTGTGCAGTTCTTCCATTATTCACTGTAAAAATCTCACTTTGGTCTCATAATTATTTTTTAAGATAAATGTACAAAAAGAAGTTAGCTTTTTATGATTCAAAATTAAAAAGTTTAAATTTTTTGAAAATTGTGAAATCGAATATAATATACAAGCTAAATTCAATTTAAAAACAAGTGAAAAAATAAACCTCGAAAAGACAAATTTTTAAAACCTCCTGTTTAACGGCTTGTGGGAAACTCCCACGTGACCTAGTATGGAAAAATGTGTTTTGCAATATTTCAACTTTCTCTATAACATGAAAAAAGATTTTAGGCCAAAATTTTGTAGGTTGATAGATTTGGGTACAATGCATCGCGCTGTTCTCCTGAAAAAACTTAATTTTGCGTTAAATTATTTAAAAACTAAGTTCAAAAAGTGACATTTTTAAACGAAAATGACAACAAAGATGGCGGCACATACACAGACGTTGCGTGAGTGTGTCAGTCCAGTAAACAGCGCCAATTCGAGCAAGTGGTCGCTGAATGAACTATGATATAATACATTATTTTACTATATTTATTGCTTTATTTTTTTTGCATTAAGTTATAGTAAATGAGTAGAACAGCCCTATGCTTTGCACCCTCCTTTATAAAGACTTGAATATTTTAACCCGAAATCATTATTTATTTCAGAGAAAGTTGGAAACGACAAAAAACGTCCGTTGCCCACATGGTCTTAAGGCCAAAAAAAGTTAGGAAATCCCTTAACTTTTTATTATATGATTAATAAAATTTATGAATCAATATTTTTCAGTTTTTGGTATTTGTTATTTAAGGGAACTTTCTGGTTCAGAATTGACAAAAAAGACACGTTTTAAAACTTTTATTGTAAGAAAAGTATTAAAGAAATTGAATAAATTCTTTTTGGACATTGTTGCACATTACGTAGAGAAAATTTTTAAAAGAATATTTGAGTGTATTTAGTTTAATTTTTTTTAGTCTTCCAAATGGTACCTTTTTTGGTGAACGGCTTTTCTCGAAATCTACCAAACCGATTTTAAGAAACCAAAGATCATTCGATTCCTTATTTAAAAAACTAGAGAATAAACCTTAAAAATTAAATATTTCTACTCCCTGTTTTTTTATACGAAGGTAAATTGTTTCAACAACAAGGCGTTTTTGAGAATATTTGAGAAAAATCTACATAAAAAAAACCTTTTAAAAATCGTTTTTTAGGTTCATTGTCTAAAATAAATCCTTCTGAAGAGATTCCCTTTTGAATTTATATATTACAGGTTGTCCGGAATCAAGTGCACCAAAAAAGGTACCTTTTGGAAGACGCCACCTACAGTTACGAAATCGAACTAAATAAACTCAAAATTTTTTTAAAATTTTCTCTAACGTCGTACCGAAGATGAACGGTAGAGGCGCGTACGAAGAGAGCATACATAGGTCCATGTAGAGGCTCGTTTTTTTTTCTCTGTGTACTTGGGTGAAAAATGAAAATTGCACTGATAGAAACAGGTTGGTAGATCTTGCGACGAAAATATGTCAAAGTGTATAAGGTTAATTCGCAATGATGAGCAGGCCTTTTTAACCATCAGGTTATAATCGCATTGCTCTTTTGTTATGTTTAGATTTTTCATTTTTGGTTAAAATAGCCATCACATATGGCTGTACCTATTCCAACAATTTTGTATGATAAGCGTACAAATAATTCTGCCAATATTAAGCAGTTATTTCTATCAGTGTGGTTATTGCATAATCGTCTAAATTGATTAGGGTAAGTCCGGGGGAGTTGGCCATGCGGGAGAGATGGCCAATTCAAATATTTTATAGAATTTGCTGCTATAGGTATCGCTTATTAAAGATTAGTTCGCTTTGTTTTGTGGCAAAATACAATTAAAAGAAAAAACTTCACGAAAAATATTGAAAAAGTATGTAAAAATCTGATTTGTTATTTTGACTAGTTCGGAAAAAAGTGATGAGTTTACGTTTCTCACTGGTGTTATGTTATTTTATAGAATAATTTTGAATTTCATTTTTTTTGTAAAGTACATGACCCAAGCTTTGTCATAACTGTATATTTATTCAAAAATTTTATTTATTTATTTAAATTTTAGTTGTGTCAATTTGTCTCCTGCTCTCTAAATTTGAATCAGCGGAAAATCGCTGATTGGGCAGCTATAAGTATGCAGCTGATTCAAGCAGCGTATATACATTGATAATTAGCGCATATAAACTATTTCATCACCCGAGTCGAAATTAAGACTCTCTATAAGTTCTCTAAAAACCTCCTTTTATCCTCCTTTTATTCTCTCCAACACTTTCATACCCTCTTTTCGACCTCGAATTTGCAAAAGTGGAAATACATATCTGCTATATTGGAGGCTGAAAGGAGGGTTTAAAGATGACTAGAGAGGCGTAAAGGAGGTTAAAAAAACAAAAAAAAAACGAAAAAATAAAATTAAAAAAATGTAAAAATTGGATTTTTTTTCTTATGGACATTATTTATTGATCCTATTGAAGATATGGGCATATCTCTAGAACTTTTAAACTTGAGATATTAGAAAAATTAATTTTTTTTTCAGGGCACATTCGTGAAACAAATTTTATTGTCTTCAGTATTGATCAAATACTATAAAAAAATTTGCGTAACTCATTTTTACACATTGTTACGCAGCACAGTGGGCCTTATTGCAAAAAACCTGCCCAAAATCTCTAGATGTGTTTAAAAAAATTAAAAATTTAAGATCTTCCGCGTAAAAAACATTTACAACATTTTTCTCTATTTTTAATAGGAAAAAAGTTATAAGTAAAGCAAAAAAATATTGCTCAAATTTGTTATTGTAAATGTCTCGAAAAATATTAAAAATTTCAAATTCAAAATTTGTACACTTATTTAGCACCACCATCACTACAATTTACCGAATTTTGAGAAAAATCTGAGACATGACCTCGTATTCTCATATGAAATGCTTCATATATACGCTGTTTGAATCAGCTACATACTTATAGCTGCAAATTAATTACGTTTCGCTGATTCAAATTTAGAGAGTGACATTAGGAGAGATGGCCATGTTTTTTCGAGGTGAGATGGCCATACTGTTTAAGTTATTGGCAACCTTGAGATTCCTGTGTTCGCTAAAAAAAACATTCATTCTGTGGCAAATGACATTTTTCATTACATATATTGCAACAAGACACTCCAACAAAGATTTTCAAATTTAAATATGATCGAATAAAATAATCACTATTGTGTAATTAAATCTTAAAAACGTTTATAAACAATCATAACACAGGTCTACAAAATAAGACTTTTTTATATATATAGCGGAGTGGTTTCCAATGTATTTTTGTGTGTTGAACCCGATTCTGGGTTCCAAAATTGCGTATCACATCAGGATTTTGAATAAAGTGGAGGCAAAGTCTCCAAAAACAGTTTTTTTGAGGGTTTTCATTATTTTTTTATTCCTTAACCAGACGTGCTAGACACTTCTATATATGCTTAAATTAAAGCTTAGATCGTACACTTTAAGACTCATTTACGCAGGATTAAAAAAAAATTTGAAATTTTGAAAAAATGGGGGTAAATACCCCAAAAATCTTTTTAGGTGACTTGAACCTAATTTTTTTTCCTTGCGCATATGAGTCTTAAAGTGTAAGATATAAGCTTCAATTTAAGCCTATATAGAAGTCTTTATCAAGTCAGGTTAAGGAGAAAAAAAATATTGAAAACCCTCAAAAACACGGGTTTTGGAGTCTTTACCCCCACTATACTCAAAATCCTGACGCGATACGCAATTTTGTAACCCGGGATAGTGTTCAGGACACAAAAAAAAATTGGAAACCACTCTGATATCTCAAAAAAATACCTTGTAGACTTGTTGTGTTGGTGAGGCAGACAAACAGAGAGCGCTTATCAAAGTCTGGATTCAGTGCAATGATTGTCACCTTTGGCTTCATGAAAATTGCACTGAATTTAATGATAAATGTTCGAAATGTGGTCAGAAGAAGAAAAGAAGACATTAATCACTTTAAATTAATAAGAATTCTGATAAACCGAAAAGCCAAAGAATGATTTTAAAGTATTGGTCATCTCCCCCGTACATTCCGGGAGAGATGGCCAAACGTGTTTTTTAAAAAATATTAATTTTAAGATTGTTTACATTTAACAAATTTATTATTTCTATTATTATTTTTAAGTTAAATGTTCAATGTTTAATTAGCAATAAAAGTTAATACATAAATCACTTTCTTCTTATTTTTACAGGCCTTTAAAAAAACTATGGCCAACTCCCCCGGACTTACCCTATACTCAGTAGCACGTAATATTAAAATGTCCGCCTCATGGTAATATTGCCGGTAATATAGTGTCAAAAAACACTTAAAAATATTTGACTGATTACACTAATATTACCGGTAATAATATTACCATGAGGCGGACATTTTAATATTACTGTAATATTACGTGCTACTTGGGTATAGACTGTTAGTATTACCTTGCCAAGATACATAAGATGTCTAATGAGATGAATCATGTTTGTTGTCTTGCCAGAATTACTTTCTCCAGAAAATATAATATGTTGAATTTCTTCATGATGAAGTACGTCTTGGTATGCACTATCAGCCACTGAATAAATATGTGGGGCATTATCTGATCGTGATTTACACTGATATTTGGCATGATACTAAAAAAAATAATTGATTAATTTGTTGTTCGTAAAATTTTAAATTGTTATTTTAAGGTATTTCTCCGGCAAATTGATTTTCGCTAAAAATTTTTCAAAAAGTTGCACACAATTAAGAAATTTGTATACTTCTGCGCTTGATCGAGGGGAAAGGAAATGCGAGGCCGGAGAAATACCTTATTAAATCCTTGATTTTGTTGAGAATTTGCCGATTAATAATAATAGTTAAACGGAAATTATTCAGTATATACGAATATTAATGTTTAAATTAAAATTTAGAAAAAATACTTACGTTAGATTCATAAATGTTTTGTTCTTCATTTGGATTAAGTATTAGTAGTATATCACCTACAAATGTATGAAAAAATCCTAATTTTAATCTTTCATGTAATTCGTTTAAAATGCTGTCTTCCGTAAGATTGTCTAATGCTGATAAATCTTCTGTTAACATTGGTTCCAATGGCTCAGTTTGGTGAGTCTAAAATATTTTATGCTTTTTATTGCAAATATGTGACGCTTTAAATACATTGTATTAGAAACATTTTATACTTCTTATACAAATCACAAGAAGATTTTAATAACATCTCATAATATGTTTGTTTTCGCTACTTATATTTTCGTTGTGATATGACTTTTATGACAAGTCATAAATTTATTTTGTTAAAATGCATTTAGTTACAATGTTTGTTAGTGACATTTTAATATAAATGTCCGCCGTGCTTAAATGTTTACATATGCTAAAAGCTTATTGTGTCTTCATCTTTTAAATAACTAGTTCTGCGATACCGATACTAATTGTAAGTTCATTTTTTTAAAGTTTGCAATTTTAATCTTTGATGGATTATAGCGCTGCATTTTATTTTAATCCATTTTAATATTAAAAAAATATTCCAAAATTTACTGTGTATATACCTAATAGTTTTTGTATGTTCTTTGAATAATTAATTACTTTATTGAAAATATTATAATAGATGCTGAAGAGGACCACATATATAGCCGTCGAAAAGTTTTCAAAATAAATGAATAAATTTATGGATTTGATATAAAACTTTATTACAACCGATACACGAAAAAAAGTGGATAAATAGGAATAAGAGTAGAAAGTACAGGCAGCGAAAACATACCGATTAAAACGTTACCTTTAAGAATCCTTCATAAACAATAACTTCAGGTTTTCTGTTTCTTCTGCCCATTGGACATACATCCATAACCAATGCCTTTATTTCTTGAGTCAACTGTTACAAAATGAAAAACTGCTGTTAAGTTTTTTTATTTTATTATTGTTTCCTCATAGTTGTACATTTATATTGTGGTTATTTCATACGGGCGATTCCACGTGAAATTGGTATACATATATATTGTAATTTAACTTACTGTATAATCATTTTCTGGCAATTCTGATAAAAATGGGTGTTCTAAAATTTCCATCATAAATGGTCTGTTGTCTGGATTTTTTTCTAGGCACCTGAAATTGCGAGATTTTTGTCAAGTTAAATTTAAGAATAAATTGTTGTCTTTTAAATGATAAAATAATAAATAATGTTTTGTTTATATTTGAAAACTAACTCGTTAATAAAGTCGTTAAAATTTTGAGACCAGTTAGATGGTCTGTAAAGAGATGGTGGAGGATTCCTGACAATTTGAAAAAGTGCTCTAGTTGAGTGCATATCTTGGAAAGGTGCTTTCCCATCAGCCATTTCAATCGCAGTGATTCCAATAGCCCAAACATCTGCTTTAGTATTGTATCCAGAATCTTTGCAGGTAACAGTTTCTGGTGCTATCCAAGATGGTGAACCAATGCATACATGTTGATTCTCATGTTCTCCTTTCATTATTTTAGCAAAACTAAAATCAACAAGTTTTACTTCTCCTTCTCTAGTTAAAACCATATTACTAGCTCGCACGTCTCGGTGAATTATTTTATTTTCATGTAAGTGTATTAAAGCCTACAAGAAAACACATTAGTGTCAAGAGCTTGGATAGCAAATTAGAAAATAATTTATCAGTTGCAGGTGTTAAATATTTAAACCCTTGACTGTGTTGCTCGAAAATCAAAAAATAATCCAAATGTGCGTTAGCGTTTTTAGTGAAGATATTTACGACAGTTATTATGGGATTTTCCGAGACGCTGAATACTAATTTGAAGTCAGATTTTCAAAACTCAAAAAAGCGTATTCAATATATGGTTGCCTGATTTAAAAAATATTTTTTTTCCATATATATAATATATTTTTTAAAATGATTTTTGGAAAACAGGTGAATAAAACACATTCACATTTATAACGACAATGTTTCGAAGGCACGGTTCGCCACCATCATCAGGTCGCTTTATTAAAATTAATCTATTCAAATTCAATACATGTGGAATGAAGAATAAGTAACAGAAATATAAAAAAAAATGTTTAATTTTTAGCTAATATCTATCTATCACTGAGAAAAATGTTTAGTCAGAGCAACCAAAATTTGGTTAGGCCAACAAAAAAATTTTGTTAGTATTGAAGCAACCAAACTATTTGTTTGAGTCAACCAAAAAATTAGGTTGAGTGTTTTTTGTTGGCATAACAAAAATGTTTGGTTAGCTCAACAAAATTTTTTTTGTTAGGTCAACAAAAATGTTTGGTTGATGAAACCAACAGTTTTTTTTGTAAAATTAAAAATTTTATTATACCTTATCTCTTTTCTTTTTATCTTCTTTATTTATTTCATTGTTTATTTATTATCAATTTAACATTGAATTTATATTCATCCAATTGAAATATTTATGGACTTTGAAAAATCTCACCTCCGCCTGAGATCGAACCTCTGTTTTAAAACTGAAAGTCGGGAGCTCTGACCACTGGACTACCCATCCTTGTGAGAGATTTAAACTAACTGTTCTCTTAAGCTATGAGCTAAGAGCGAATTAAACTATTTGGTTGTCGCAACCAAATTTTGGTTAGGACAACAAACGATCATTTGGTTTCTGAGATCAAACTATTTTGTTGTGTTAACCAAATTATTTTGTTGTCGTAACTAAATTTTGGTTGGAATTTAAAAATGTTCAACCAAATAATTTTGTTGGCCTAACCAAATGTTTGGTTGAGATAACCCTACGACTTTGTTTCAGCCAACCAAAATTTGGTTACAAGAACCAAAATTGCCTAACCAAACAATTTTGTTGCAAACACTAAATTTTTTTTCTCAGTGTAATTAAAAGAAATTGCATCAAATTTTGTCAAAGAAGTACAAAATTAAATAAATAAAAAATTGTTTTTTTATTTTTTTTATTCGATTCCAAAACTCGATTTAAAAAAATATTATGGTTGCCTAAAATTTTGAACATTTACAAAAATTATCGTGTTCTCATAAAACTTTGTTGTAAAAGTTTTCCTCCTACAACGCTAATTATAAGTTTAAATTAGTGAGCTTTTTATATTTTCAAAAAGTGTTAGTATACTCTTCGAATTATTAAGAGAATTCTTTTAAATTAGTAAAATTTTCTACTAATTTTTAGACATTTTCATTAAAACCGAGACTAAAACTGTAGTAAAAAAAATATTACTAAATCAAATAGTCATATTTTACTACAAATTAGTGAACAAATTCTCACTAATTCAAATTCAGAAAATAGACTTGTATGGGATATATTGTTTTGAATTTTTGGAAATTTGATTTCAATATTTGTAATCTATGATACAAAAACCTATACGATATAGTACCAATTATACCTGTAATGCACAGTCAAGGGATTAATACATGTACGACTGTTAAGAGTATTTATTACCCTATAAAAACTGTGAGTTAGAACTCCCCTTGGGATTCTATTAAAATCGCACCCTTTATTAGGAGTTGCAGTAAAGGGAGTTAATCTAATGATTAACTCATTTTTGGAGTTAATTTTTAACTTAAAAAATTTTACTTCTAACTTCGGTTGCAATTATTTACCTAAATTTCTTAAAGTGTAAGGATATTTTATTTGATTAAATTATTTTAATGAAAATTGTGTGATAAACAAGTTTCTTGTAATTTACCCTAGGCATGCACTGAAAGAAACTGTATGCTGAATATAGAGGCTGGCTACACGGAGAGCCAATAAGGAGGGTTAAATTTAATCCTCTGGCGTACTAAACAAGTGGACTAAATTTTGCGTCTGCGCAAAATGTTGGTGTACATCTGCGACCATGGTTGCTATAGCGACAGGTTAGAAAAGACAATCACGTGGTTGCCAAAGCCAGCGAACTTTTCTAACCTGTCGCTATTGCAACCATGGTCGCAGATGTATACAAACATTTTGCACAGACGCAAAATTTAGTCTACTTGTTTAGTACGCCAGAGGATTAAATTTAACCCTCCTGATTGGCTCTCGGTGTAGCCAGCCTCATAGATATGAAAATAAGGTTAGATTTACAGCTTCTTCCAATCGAACAGTATTGGCGTTCTTCACATACATATGAAAGATTGACAACTTCATATGGCTAAAACACATATACTGCATTATTAGTACTAGCAGAAATCCTAACCTCACTTTTATGTCTGTATACGTCATATTAAAAGGACAATATCACCTATAATTATGCCAGTGTCTCACTAATATATTTTTTAGTGTATAATTAACTCATTTAGCATCAACTCCATTTGCTTCAACTCAAAATGGTGTTTATCACCGATTCGCCATTAGAACTAAACGTCATTTGATGTAATTTACAAATTTTAAAATTACATAAAACAAACCCAAGTAGCACGTAATATTACAGTCATGTAAAATTTGGTTTTAATTACAAATACATTATTATTTAAAGTCTCGAAGAATATATTTAGACGTCTGCATGAAGAGGGACCACTTTGTCAATTACAATAAGGATTACTTTTGTGTGAATATCATAATGCGAATATAATCCTTATTGCAATCGTTAAAGTGGCCCCTTTTCATGCGGGACGTCCACATATATTAGACTATTAGAGCGCGATTATAATAATTCTAGTCAATAAAAAAGAAGATCGTAGAATTATTTGCTAAAAATACCTTTAATTCGTCATTTTAAGTAATATCAATTTTAGTAAATATATACATATTTTAGTAAACGAATTTTAATGTTGGTTGCAATTTGAAATTTGTAAAATTACTTTTACTTCTAATGTCTTGTCAGGGATAAGCATGCTTCTTTTACATTACTTTATGAGGAAAAATAATTTCTTTACCTATATTGATATAAATCTGTTCAATATTACGATATATTTTTACAAAAAGCAAATAAATTATACCTTAATAACTTCTCGTATAATATAACCAATATGCTCTTCTCGCATTTTTTTCCCCTGCAATACAAGTCCTTTACAAAGATCGATTACTGGACCTCCTTCGCAAAGCTGGAAAAAAGTTAAAACATTGCATGTACGAATATGTTTATCGAAGAATTGTTGCAATTTAAAAATATTTTCTTCAAAAGATCCTGTTCTTAACGAGGATAACTCAGTCAAAAAGTAAGATAAAAGTTTGATGCTAGAACAACATTCATAAATTAAAACCAACACGGAAAAAAAGTAATTTATCTCTAAACATGAGATAGCTTACATTTAGCTATCTTAACTAACCCCAGTTGCTATTCAATGGAAAGCAATTGAGCTGCAGCGTGCAATACAACACAATCTCTCAGACTGTGGGTCCCAACCGCGGTATCTACTTCGAGTTTCGCAGTAGAAAATAGACCGGGCCAATAAGGAGACTAGATTATTTAGAAAAAATACAAGTGAATCAATTTTTCCCATTGTTGTTTTGAAGTTTATTATTCAAATTTCAATACCTGCACATATAATCGTTAAGGGTAATAATATAAGTCCAAGTTGTGAAATGTAAACAAACATGAAAATATAAGCAATTATTGACTAACTTGTGACAGAATTTTTTTGGAAACAAAATAAAAAATTTTCTTCTCTATATGCGGAAATGAAAAATAAATATATAAAACTACAAAATGACAACTTGTTTGACTATTATATGAAAAAATTAGTACAAGGGTGATTCTCCACGAAGCGTACAATTCTATGTCAATTGTGTTTTTTAAGAAGTAAATTGTACATATTGTATTGAATCTAACGTGAAAAAGTAACTTTAGTGTTTACAAACAAAAGCCTATAGCCACTTTAATTTATAAAATTAAATATTATTTTTAAAATGCAAATTAAAGAGCCAAATCGTCATGGGGAAGCCTGTCCGCAGTGTCATTTATGAAACAAAAATAAATATTTTGAGGAAAAAAACAATAATAAAAATAATTATTGGTAACAGTTTTTTATTTATTTATTATTTCACATGAATATTAAAATAAAAGATTGTGTGTGACAAATTTTTAAAATTAATAGTTAGTTAAAGGAAAATTTCTTTTTATTATAAACTAGTGGAATGAAACAATAATACAATACAATAAAACATTTAATTTTTAATCAATAACTGGAAGGTTTTCATAATATTCCCTAGCATTTATCTTTAAAAATTTACATGTATCAAGAAGATCAGCTTTTTTTTCTTTTTTCAAAGGCAATAAACTGCTGTACAAAAGAGGCAGTTGATGTGGTAAAATTGAAGTGTTATTAATCGAAGCCGGAACTCGTTCGGGTAGCTTCTTTTTTTGTTTTTTTAGATGTAGTTTGTGTTTTACTTCGACCTTTAGTTTTAGTTTGTTTTTTATTTCGACATTTAGATTGAACGGGTCTAGTTTCCGAAGAGGAATTCTGCTCATTTTCTAGGGTTTTCACGATTTAAAATATTTTCCAAGCATCGGATGTTATGCGATGCACGAAAATATACGAAATTCAGATCATCAGCGCAGACTTTAAGCCACATAACTTCAGTGATTTTCATCTTATCATTATTGACTATTTCCGCTTCAATAGGACTGAAATCTTTGAAGTCGCTTGATTGCATTTCATTGATTTTAAACGGTTTAGATAAATTAGCTTCAGCGATTACATACTTGTAATCTGATGGACGTATTACATTAGTTTTCTTCTTTTTCTTTTCAATTAAAGCAAAATCTCGATCACATGGAAGAAAACTGTGTCCAATAGTTAAAAACTTTTGATGTACTTCGCTGAAATATTTCAATTTAACAAAATAGTGATACAAGGTTAAAATTCGCCAATTGTTGTTCTGACCAACACAACGATCACTTCACACGATATGTTTCCTTTCTTCATTTTTTCTAAGAATAGGATAATATTATCCAGAATGTGTTTCAAAATGCAGGAGGCAATTTCAGCTAAAAAATTATGAATCGCAAAATTGTAGGTTGAATGTTGTTTTTGATAAAACATGTTGGAATGAGTGAGTGTAGAACACAATAAGACTTGTTGTAAGTGAACGCAGAGTGTAACAACGTTGTTGTCGATTTTAGCTCTCGAACAATATTCTTTTAAAAATTCGTATGATTTTTCTGCCGTTTCGTGATGTTTTTGGCTTAATATGATTATCTTCTCGAATTCCTCTGGTGAAGATGCGGCGATTTGTTGTGCATGCAATAAGTCACTATAGCGGTAGTCGATTTTTCCTGAATTTCTTTCACGTTGACACACCCACGAGGTTTTGACTTGCTTATCGGTGTCTTCGGTCTAGCAATAAAATGAATAGCGGGAAACATGCTGGCTGTTTGGGGAGCGATGATAGGAAATCACTCGTCATCGTCCCTTTGAGGAGACAGCAGGATCCGCACCACATTCTCAAGTGTTGGCCGCGGACACTTAAAGGTTGGTTTTTGTCGTATAAGCTATTTTATCCATTAAAAATAAATTAAAAGAATCTAAATGTAAAGTATTTTTTTATATGGTGTTTATAAAAATAGTATGGTGTTTATTTCGTGTTGCGGATCCCCTTGGCGGCGTATTCCATTTTGTGTGGACTTTACACCTCACACACTGGTCTCACTGAGATGATAATATTTTCCATGAAATCGATCTTTTATCCACCTTACGGAATTAAGGAATAATCTATACAATACGAGACAAACTGAGATTCAGGAAGGAGATGCCTAAAGCCTTGGACACGAATCTGTGACTTTTAAGTATCATTTATATCAATACACCCACACAGCACATAATATTTCCAAAATATTTTTGAAATATTTCAATGCAAAGTCCTTGAAATATTGCTGCAAACAGGAAAATGTCCGCTTATGAGAAAATATTGATGGTCAACTTGAGAAAATATTTCACTGAAATATTCTGGAAATTTTCAACTTAAATGATGCGCACTGGGTCGATCTCAGTTACTATGGCCTGTACAACTGCGCAGTAGTCTTATTTATTTATTATCAATTTAACATTGAATTTATATTTATCCAATTGAAATATTTGTGGATTTTGAAAAATCTCATTTCCGCCTGGGATCGAACCTCTGTTTTAAAACTGAAGATCGGGAGCTCTGACCACTGGACTACCCATCCTAGTAAGAGATTTAAAATAACTGTTCTCTTAATCTATGAGCTAAGAGTGAATCAAATTATTTGGTTTTTGCAACCAAATTTTGGTTAGGACAACAAACGATCATTTGGTTTTTTAGACCAAACTATTTTGTTGTGTTAACAAAATTATTTTGTTATCGTAACCGAATTTTGGTTGGAATTTAAAAATGTTCAACCAAATTATTTTGTTGGCCTAACCAAATGTTTGGTTGAGATAACTGTACGACTTTGTTTCAGCCAACCAAAATTTGGTTAGTTTATTTTTTAAACTCGTTTGGTCATCACAACTGCTGAGTTCGGTCAGGTCAATACCAAACGAAAAGTTCAGTTGGGAAAACCGAACTTTTAGTTAGCTATACCAACCATTTTTTGAGTGTAGAAGTCTCTAAGTCTCTAAGACTTTACCTCCACTTTACTCAAAATCCTGACGTGATACGCAATTTTGTAACCCGGGATCGTGTTCAGGACACAAAAATAAATTGGAAACCACTCTGATATTTCAAAAAAATACCTTGTAGACTTGTTGTGTTGGTGTGGTAGACAAACTTATCGAAGACTGGATTCAGTGCAATGATTGTCACCTTTTGCTTCATGAAAATTGCACTGAATTTAATGATAAATGTTCGAAATGTGGTCAGAAGAAGAAAAGAAGACATTAATCACTTTAAATTATTAAGAATTCTGATAAACCGAAAAGCCAAAGAATGATTTTAAAGTATTGGCCATCTCCCCCGTACATTCCGGGAGAGATAGCCAAACGTGTTTTTTAAAAAATATTAATTTTAAGATTGTTTACATTTAACAAATTTATTATTTCTATTATTATTTTTAAGTTAAATGTTCAATGTTTAATTAGCAATAAAAGTTAATACATAAATCACTTTCTTCTTATTTTTACAGGCCTTTAAAAAAACTATGGCCAACTCCCTCGGACTTACCCTATAGATTTCGGAATATCAAACTTTTTTACGATCTGAGATTTTGTCAAATTTTTGTTACTCATTTCGTCTAAAATTAATAATTTTGTTTGAAGGTCAATTTGCTCCTTTCATTTATTTTAGCTATTATAATACACTGTTATTAGGGGAGACCGGGGCTGAAAGTGCCGGGGGTTAGTTGTGCCGATAGGAATATCTCAAAAACAAATTTTTCTTTTGAAAAGTGCAAGTGAGATAAGTATTGTTTTACTTATGCGCATCTTTGGCAACTATTTTGATTTTGTCTGCTTCACGGAATAATTAGCTGTTAGTAATTTGGTGCTTTGGCGTCACTTACGTGCAAGTTTTCATGTTTACACTTTTTGGTCTATTTTTTGCATTTTTAAAGATATCGATACGTATTTTGTTTTAAAATGATCCAAATTTATCGACGGATTTAATAGTGTATGAAACCTAACATTTAATTTATCTAGTTTTTTAATATTTGATAAAAAGTGAGCGTCGACGTAACGAAGTTAATTGTGCCTTTCGCTTGGGGCTGGTTGTGCCGCTGTCAATCGCTACGTAACCATATATTCTACTATTGCCTCGTTTTTTCAAATTGTTATTCAAACCCGAAATCAAGAGAAAAGTTGATTCAATGCATAGTTGGTAAAAACTGGGTACATTTAAAATGTGTGAAGGGTAAAGAAAGGGTCAATTGTAATTTCAATAAATCGCATTCGGAATAAGTATTCACGTTTTAAAAATATTTATTAATCAGAAAGTAGAGTTTTACCAATTAATTAACGATACAAATAATTATTTCAAAAAATATTTTAAAAGACTGACTAATTATGTAATTGTAAAATTTAAGTCAAAAATGTTTATTTTTTTAGAAAAATCTATAAATTTTATGATTGTTGGAAAAATCATTTGAATGTTTATAATAAAAATAATTATTACGAAAACTATATTTTAAGTGACTGACTATCTA